TTTTAGGAAGAGGACAGGCCTGCAGGATTTAGGCATGCTCCCACCCATTTTCCTCGTGACGAAAGACGAAGCGGCCGTCAAATTGATCTCCTGCTTTATCGTCAAGTTCATGTCGGCCTTGTCAACATTGACGCTGAGCGTCGACTCGCTGTTGGTACGGATCATGCCCTCCTCTTTGCGGACATTTTCGTCGTCGGTGGCTTGTCGCGAAGACGTTGGAGCAACGACTCAAGAGCACGATGGGTTACGTCTGAGCTACCACGGGGTGAGATCGTCGACGAGGAGGAGATCATTGCACTTGCGAGGAATCATTCGAAACCAAGAAGTTCCCAGGCTTACAGGGACGATGATGAAATCAAGGAGGCCATCCGTGAGGCAAGAAACACCAACGAAGCCAAGGAATGGAAGAGAGTCCACAGAATGAGAAGAATTGCGCGCAAACACTGGCAACAAGAACGCCTTAGCTCCATCCTTGCAGGGGACTGGGAACAATACCGCCTTCTTCAGAATGAGAAGAAGAGACGCAAAGGCTGGTGGGGTGCGATGCTCGAGGAACGCACTTCCGCGCAACTCACTGGCGAGATCCATGACCACCTCGCGCAAAAGATGACCAGCGGCAAGGACGGAAACCTCTGGAATAAGGAGCTTGAGGAGTTCATTTCCCGGGAGGTTGACATGCATGCTGAATCGTCATTCGTGCCTTTCACCATCGAGGAGGTCTGGGAAGAGCTGCAACATATGAGATGCAGAAGTGCGGTTGGCCCTGACGGAATTGGCGTCCACCTCCTACGCTGCATCGCCGTGCATGATACGCTCGGTCCAAGCATGCTGTCCCTCATCAACCATATTGTGGCCTCCCAACAACTCCCGCCAAGCTGGGAACATAGCTTTTTAGCTCTTCCGGCCAAAGTACCTGTCCCTCGTCGTGCGGGTGATCTTCGTCCCATTGCGGTCTCCTCAGCGTTCAACAAACTTGTCAACCGAGTTGTCTGCAGTCGTGTGATGCCGTTGATGCGCAGGGGCTCCCGCACTTCCTGTTGCGGGAAAGGAAGGCAAGCAGCCGACCTCGTTGGCTGTCTCACAAGGCTCCGCGATGTCACCCGCGAATGGAAGCAACCTCTGATCCTATGTAAGCTGGATGTAGCAGGTGCCTTTGACAGAATCGACAGGGCCACGGTTGCCGAACTCCTGGTGCAGCGACTCAAAGGGCGTGAAGTCAGGGAAGAATTTAAATACATGTTGCAGCAATTGCGCACGCACACTCTTCATGGCACTGTTCCAGGAGGCTCATCGCTTACGCTCGTCCCTGACGTCGGCATCAAACAGGGAGCACCTGAGAGTGCAGAGCTGTTTGGTCTTGTTGTTGACGCACTCTTGGGTGACCTGGTGAACTGTCGACGGTGGGGTGAGCTTGGGGTCCCCTTCCCGGGTCTCGGCTTGGATCTGCTCTTCTACCAGGACGACGTCTTCATCATCGAAACGCAGCTTGGGAGACTTTGCCGGAAAGTACGGGCGGTCGACAAGTGTCTTGCCCGAGCAGGATTGCGCCTAGCCACCGAGAAGACCAAAATCGTTGCGAACAGTCACTACTCTGGAGCCAGACAAGCGAAAGTCGGGGAGAACTTGTTCCAGATCGCGCCTCGAGGTGAGTCCATACGCGTCCTCGGGGTGAATTTCGCCCTTTCGGACGACCCCTCCGAACAAGCAAGGGACATCACTGCCCGT